GAAGGTATCTCTGTGAAGATAGGACAGGTAGCTGCCCAAACAACGAAGAGCAGAAGAAGATGAGGAAATAGCTCCATTAATGTCATTAACAAATTGTGCAAGAATTTATTGCTCTTATATCTTGTGTACTTGACATTACTACAATGCTATTGCTATTGAAAAAGCAGATTTTAAGAAATAATGAGTCAGAGATAAGAATTAGAGATATGAAAATGAATTACTGGTATGCAGTCTAACAATAACAATTCAAGATATATGAAATTTTAAAAAAAAATAAAAAAACAAACAAATGTGTATAGGTACTGATGTAATCAATTTTTCAATTGAATAGTGATTGTTACGATAGTATGTGCACCTGAACAAATGATAAGACTTCATCAAAAAATATTTTCCTAATGAACTCTGGAAGAAGAAAACGGAAGAGACCAAAGAAATTCTGACAGAATGGAGTGATGGGGCAATGAATAGAAAAAGACTCATAGAAGACATTTAGGTCAGGAACAAAGTTAGTAACAAACCAAGAATCAATATGAACTGTAACAAAACTTACTGTATACTATTTACTTGCATCAGCATACTTTCAGAGGAAGTTGGAAACCTTGGGTATGGAACTCAACCTGCAGTAACCAATACTAAAGAGTAATCGCTCAATGCCCCTTCAAGGGGCTTGGAGATGTGTTGTATCTATGTAGACACAACAAATAAAAAAAAATTTATAAAATAAAATAGTTACAATGAAGAGCATTTCTAAAATATTGAGCAGTTTTTGTAAATTATGAAATATTTTACAAAAACTGCTGGTTACAAATTGTCTTTATATTTCATCTTGTTTTATTTTGTCTAATCATGTTATAATTTTTTTAAATGGCATACAATTTACACTGAACTCATATTCTTCAGGAAAAAAATGATGTTACGATTTTCAGTATGTTGTATTTTTGATATAAATATAATTGTAATTATTATTATAAGACCTTAAAGAATAAGCTTATTAGTCAAGATTGTCAAGGATGTCAACTACAGACTGCAAAAACAGGAAGGAACAGTCAATAATTTAATCAAGCCTATAACAAGATTGCTCTTACTGATTTCAAACAAAGCAATGACAGATTGACCATAGCCCTACATTGTGCTAATTTGTGCAGTGGATATGACTTCCAAGCCCTGATCAATGGCTGAAGCACAAGTCATACAAGACAGTGAACAATTCAAATACAAAAATACTCTGGCATTTTTGATTCTGGCAGACTATCGAGATGACCTGATGCCAGATCTCACTGTTATGAAATAGAAGCAAGTATGGATAGTAGATGTGGCATTCCCATATGATTCCAGAATTTATCAGAAGGAGAATTTTTTTAGTTTAGTTTTTTCATATTTTGTTCTGACTTGCTATGGGGTGTTGAAAGTAACCTTTGTTATCTTAGAGTCCAAGATTCACTAGATATAACTCCTTTAGGGGGTTTTGAACTCTGTTTTGACAATTTCAGTTACTGATTTGATAATGTAGTAAATAATGTTATAAAGAAATCAATTTATTGTCCAATTGTTATTAAAGAGATTTCATATTTGAGTGTTCGTCAAGAGGGACTCAGTATTGTAATTTATCTTTAATTTTTGTGGAACAATAATGTGTAGGCCTCTAGTTAACTATAATGTAATAGTACAGGTTTGACAGCAGTCTGATGAAGCTTTGTGTAATACTAGTATAATTATCCCCATGTTCCAACTCAAAATTCTGACTATAATGAGACCTGAAGAATTGCCTTTAGTCTTTGCTAATTGGTATTGATGTGACAAAGAAGTTTCTTCCATTTTTATTTTATGACAGATTAAAGAAGCAATTTTCACAGGCCAAGAATAGAAACACAGATAAGAACATGCACGTAAATGAGAAATTAGCAATATTGACCTATTGTCTATTGACAGAAACAAACAGGCAGAGGATGAATAGGAAGAGAATAAGATCAAAAACCAGTATTGATTCTTGTTCTCAAGAAAAAGGAGATGTTAATGTAATATTAGTTATAGAATTACTAGTTTCCTTTATAAGTTTCTTTTGAAAGTAATTTGTATAAATATTCATATTGGTTATAACAGCCACTCTGTTTGTTACTGATACTCTCATTAATGGGGACAATAAAATAATTGTCCCAACTCACTGACACTTCGGACAATTTTTCTCCCTCTTCAGTGTCATGGAATAGAAACAACAAACCCCATTAATCAGCCTACATTTTGAATTTTGTATCTATTACATTGAATTTTAAGGTAATTTAACATTCATTCTAACATTTTTTCATGCAGGTCATTTAATATTCATTAATTATTTAATAAAATAGAGTCAGTTTCTTTCTCTGTGAACCCTCCTTATTTTATTTTGCTGATACCCATGGTGTGTCTTGTTTCTTCAAATATATCTGGACAAATTGCTTTCTCCTTTCCCTTTGATTAAAAAAATGTACTGGTAATTTTGTTAGAGCAAATGCGATCTTTCTCCAAGGACAGAAAAATACCATAATGAAAAGGTATTATAAGATGAATATATTCTAAACTCAGATCAAAACTAAAACCATACCAATTGATTAATTAAATGAATGTGATGAATGCTTAGTGATGCCATGACCAAATTTTGAATGGACTAAACAGTGATCATCTTGTGTTTGACAGCTATGGTTTGTGTGCTTTCCTTCAGTATTAAATAGTATTACATACTGATTCTACTGTGCCATATAATACAAGGAAGTCACTTGTATATTATTAAATATTTTATGAGAATAATAAGATACTTAATACAGGATCAGCTTGCTGTGTTATAATGGTACTCTGCAGTAACTATATATCTTTTATTGTCAGCTTGTTGGTGATGTACTGTGGAATACATGTTACTGCAGAACTGTGAAGAACTTAAGTGGCCATAAAATATTAAAACTTACTGATGACATAAGGAATCTTTTGCCCGTCCTAGTGTTTTGTTTTGAATTTAGTTTGTATTTGCTTCAGAATTTGAAAATAATATATTTTTTGCAATATTCTAGATATTTTAAAAATATTATATTGTTCTACAGTTCTTTAAATAACACTGTTATTTGGTACATTACTGTTATAGAAAATAACTGAAATATTGAAACTTTGTGCAACTGGATTTGATCAAAGAAAGATTTTGTTATTTACACATATTAAGTTTGTATAAGCAATTTCATACTTTCTTGTTAATTAATAGATTGTTCAACTGTTTCTACTCCTTTTTTTGTGTTGTATAAACATTAATGAAAAAGTTGTTGAAATTTCTTTGCATATTTAGGTGTTAATTTCCAAAATGTATTTTTATTAAAACTGTAAACTATTCATACGTAAAAGAACCCACAAAGTACAACTTCAATGTTTTATTTGTCCCTTCCTTTCAAACTCCCTTTGTTCATTATAATAGAATATCAAAATTGTACTTCCAAGTGCTGTTCAGCTTATTAAAAAATTAAGATAAGTTGCTCTCTTACTTTCTCTTTCCAATAAGGTAGAGGAGATTGATTTTTTCACATGACAGGGAAGTATGTAACGTACAAACTCTCCTTCCTTTTAAATTTCTTTCTTAAAGGTAATGGCAAAGAGTTCTTAGTTATAATGCATAACGATTTTTTAAAAATATTTATAAACGATCTGAAATAATTTATCTATTCTCGTAATCATCTAAAACAGTTCGATCAACAGTTACACATATTCCTTCCTGCATTGTTTTTCTCTTCATAATTAATATTTCTATTACATTATTGTTACCTTACATACAATTTTGTGTTTTTGAGTTGGTATACAATGTTTTCCATACATTCATGTTCTTCTCTTTCTTGGATTGACTCTGTTACATGATTGACTTATAATGGTTTTGGTGTTATTCAACTGCTGATTTATATCAAAATATTTTTATTTTTCTGTAAAAATACTTAGGAAGTATTTTTATTAACATGTGATATTTATGAAACTCAGTTCATTAACAAAAACTTCTCAATGTAATTTTAAAATGCACTGATTTTCATTTTCTGTATCTGGCATTTTGCATCTTATTATTCTGCTTTTACATGCATGAGATGTGTAATATGATTTTTCTTTTTAAAATTTATTTTTCAGAAACTTTGTTTGGGATGAAAGTACTTCTATAGTGATTGAAAAATGGTGAATTATGAAGTGAATACATTATTGGAATTTTTTGAAATTTCTTCTGCCCCACAGTTTGATATAATAAAATAAAAGACGCAACAGATTCTCATTTTCATTTACTGTAAGGGAGAAAGTACATTATTATGATTAAAATATAAACTTGAGCAATCGATATTTCTTACAATGAGATGAGAGACAAAATAACATAAACATTACAAAACAAGATTTACATACATATTTAACATGTAGATAATATTCTTAATATATGATTAAAGAATATCAGAAATTAAAAGAAATGGCACCCTGAGAACAAGAAGCTGTTGCAAGCTTCAGTTTAACAGATCCTGTTAGTTGAGTTAAAACAGATTTTGAGGCATTCAATGCTATTTTGCGTATTTGTAAGGTTCACAAATTATTTGGCTTCTTACATTTCACAAAAATTGTTCAACATGGCTGCCACTGTATTTTTTAAATACCTGAGACATGATGTTGCTTGCATAAATAAGCACAATTCAAATATTGAAACACTATTAAGTGGTCCTCCAATTATATACATAATGGGTTCTTGTGTAACTGAGACTTATATGTACAAAGATATATGAACCAAATTATTATATTTATTAAAATTGCAAAAATAAAATAATTTTTTAGTGAATTTTACCTTCAATTTTTCAATTAGAAACACAACTGTTGAAATTGTGGAATTCTGCATTGAATTGTGATTGGAAGGTAATATATATAGTCTTTTAAAGGAAACTGAGAAATACAATATTGGATTGACAATTTGTATGACCAATATATTGTAAATCAATCTAAGTCAAATGTGATATTAAAAATCCATTAGGAATTAGTCCTTTTAAGTTAATAATTCCATTACAGATAGTTTTGACATGTCATATAATGACTGAAAAGATCAATATTACATATATTTTCACTTAGTATTCATAAGAACCCTTTATTATAACAAACTTCAGCTGCTTTTTTTCACATGGAAAATTCAAAATAATGTGAAATGGCAAGCCAATGTGTATTTCCAATATATATAAATATATGTATGTGAAATTAAGGTATGTTAGAGAACAATGTACATATATTTCAGGATAAATATGAACTCATCCATGGTTTGCACAAAAATACTGCAGTGCAATTGTGGTATTTAAAACCGTGGAGGAATTGCATATACTTTTAGGGGGAAAACATATATTGTGCAAACTGAAAAATAATATTCAGAACACTGAATATTATACAGTTTTTTTATTCTACAATTAATGTAGAATTATTTTTGTTTTGTTTTGGTAACTTCGTGGAACTTGATGACAAATTACTTTCTTGAAAATTTTTATGTTGATGTAAGAAAATTAACAATTGAGATATTTGAACAAATGCAGCATTACATCTGAAAGCATCAGACAGTTTCAATCGGTGGGTTACTGTGCCAAATGGGGAACCTTCAACACAATAAGAAACAGGAAAGTAGCACAAAAGACACAATTCATATCTTGGTTGCAAAAGTGGCTCACCTGTCTTCAAGAAGTCATTTTAACAATTAGTATAATTATTTTGCAAAAGAATATCTTGAGGATGGAGTGTTCTCTAAATCTGTACAAAAAATTTATATTCTGTAATAAACTACTTGAACATCTCCAACCATAAGAAGTTACTATTTAGCATTTTTTATGAATGACTATTTACACGTACATATAACATCATATAGCCTTAATGGAAAGAGGGGAAAATAGTAAGATGAGTTTATTAACAATCTTAAAACTTCATCCATTAAGAATATCTTCCACCAGGAAAAGCAAAGTGTAAGAGGTATCTTAGGCCAAACTCCAAAACATTAAATTCATTATTAAAATTAAAGATAGGTGGCCAGTCTTGCAACATATCTCCTTTAAGTATTACAAGATGGAATTGTAGATCTGTTACAATTCAATGAGTTAAAAATGCTTACATGATGCAGAGAGATTAGTTTTATGCCTCAGTCATAGTTTTAAATTCTATTTTATCAATTAAGTTAATTCACAAGATGTGTTAATTAGAAATGCATTGATTATCAATACATAATGCCTTCTCTGTCATTTATTAGACAGTCTCAAGTGTGATATATATCCTTGGTAAAATCTTGTGTTGACTAAATGTTGATTCACATATTTTGAACAAAAAATGTATGAATCACATTTAATGATCACAAGTTATATATTCATACAGCTCATACACTTCATAATTTCATTTCATTTTCACTTTTGCTTTACTGAAATTATACTGCATGCTTTTCAGCAATAATAATAATAAAATTAATAATAATAGGGGGGGGGGGGTAATTAAATCTGGGATGTTTCCACACTCGCTCCTGAAAATGCAATGCTATATGTAACATGACCTACTAATAATGACATTCTCTATCTTGTGACATACATATGCTCATGAATTTTACAATGGTTCACTTATATCAACATAGCTGTAATTATTTTAAAATTAGATTCTGCAATCTGATTTATTTTTCAATAAAACATCAGAATGCAAATATTATGTAATATTATGTAGCCTCAAAATTCTTCCCAAACTTTCAAAGTGTTCTTGAATGTGGATCTTTCTTGAAATTCTTTGCACACACTCCACAAAAATATAAGGGCCAATTTAAAAAAATTGACCAATTAGTCCAGTTCCATAGGCACTTTATTATGACACAGTGTCCTTGGATTTTGCTGCAATAATGCGTGCCACACCAGTTGCTGGGTTTGGCACTGGGGGTCTAACACCTGTTCCTGATGCTGCATTTAGTTTAACAGGAGAGACACCTGCTGTACCCTTCACAGCTAATGTTCCCAAAGCTAATCCAGTTCCTATTCCATCCACACTCCTCATACTGTCCCCAGACAAAACTGAACACTTGTTCATATTCTTTGTATTATTACATGGCTGTGCTTGAACAACTTTCAACTTATCATGGTGTGGATGAGTATGAGTTGTACTAGCTGATGATTTCCGTTGTGGCTTAGAAATCTGGGTAGTAGACAGACCAGAAACGGGATATTTGAGCTTATTGCTACAGGAGTAACTCGAATGTTTGCTTCCAGCTTTATTTGGTAATAACGATCCAAACAAAGATGATCCTTTCTGGTGGGATTTTCCTTCTAGAAGTGTCTTCACTTCAGTAGCAGTTGATAATTCTTTCTTGGAAGCAGAGCAACCTTTTGAAGCAGAGATGTGTGACTGTGGTCTGTCTGAACCTGAGACTTTTTTCCCATTGGAAGGATGCTGTGGCATAACAAATGCATTTGTCTGTTTTATCAGAGAACGATCGTTGCACAAAGCTGATATGAGGGGCAAGTCAAGATTCTTGCTCTTTTCTCTCAATGTGCGGATATCTAACATTCCATCACCTTCAACACCAGTTGCAGTCAGGGATGCATCAGGTACATCTGTAGTTGTCTGCTGTATTGCTACAGGTTGAAGTTGAGATGATTGTGGTACTGGCACTGCTTTCTCCCTCATCTGAAAAATTTGAAGATGAAATGTACTTTTGTCTGTTTTATCGGATAAATTTGCTATGAGAGTTATATCTTCAAGCGCCTTTTATTAATAATTACTGAGACTGTTAACAAACTAAAACTAGGAGTTCAAGAAAAGTCTAATTTAGATGCTACTCTTATTGCATTGTTAGCTGCATATTTCTAAACAATAAAAAGAAAACAATACAAAGCAATAAAATTTGAAAGGCTTGGAGCACAAATTATGTTATTAGCATTAAATGTGGAATTAAGTTCAAAGTTGACCGACTAGAGAAAATGCTATGGAAGGTATTTTCTTGCTACCACTGGAATGCAGTAACTGTTCTTTGAACAATTTCAATTGTACCTTTAGTACATAAAATAAGGGGGAGTTTCAACTTTACACTCATACTCTTAACTCAAAATTTGCCAAAAATGCACTTAAATCCTTTGTGCTTGAGACCACTAATTTCATGTAAAAACGTTTTATGCTAGCTTCTCAAAATTTGGCAAATGTTCTAGCAAATCATTCATTCACTTGCATCAAATAATAAATAAGAAAAAAAACTGTGTATTTATAAAGAAAAGGTTCATACAACAATGAAACAAAATATTATTTTCTTTGGCATTGCCGTAAATTAATTAACAATATTTAACAATAATTTAAATATTGAAAATCAAAAAAGGAAAAGCACTACATTAGAAATTTTGTGATTTGTTTTGTGGAATTACTTGGGAACATAAAGTTAACTAATAAGCAAATATTATTGATGTACATGACAACAAGCAAATACCAATTCAATCTAGGAATAATTAATGTAGGTGCAAAGTGGCCAGTGCCTCTGATATGATATTAAGACATTTTTTATACTTACATGTTGTTCATATGGAGGTGGAGGAGGTGGAGGTGGCTGGCGATGATATGTTGGCATCTCAACCATTGCAACCATTGGTTTTTCAGTGTATGAATTTAAAATGTTATCATCTGAACGTGCACGGCTAAAGCTTGATGGTGGTGAGTGAATTGAAGTCATACGCAGCTGATGCAGAAGCTCAGAGTACTGCAACTGCTGCTGGGCTGATGGATCGCAACGTAAGCTTTGTGTGGAGGATGATGAATGAGATCCAGCAGCTGAATACAGTGGAGATGTGGAGGCTGAGTATCTATTTGCACCAAGGTTGTACCCAGCAAATGATAAATCAGTTGAAAGGTTCTGATTTGAAGCATACTTGACTGATGATGGGATAAGAGAATTATTCAGTCCAACTGAGAGGTACCCAGTCATTGCTCCAGACATAGCAACATTGGGTGTGCTACGGTATATGTAATTGGTTTTAGGACTAGAATGATGCACAGGATATGGAGGAGGAGGGGCAGCAGGAGATGAAAAATGTGCTGGAGAATTTGCAATAAGAGAACTTTGTTTAGCATCCATGTACTCTTGCTTACTAATGTTGGGGTCCTTCATAGGATACACTACGTAATCTACATCAGAATACATTTGCTTCTTGAAGAGATCAATTTGACTCTGGGCCACCTGTGATGTGTACACTGTGGATAAGCTCTGAGCAGGATTTGCTGGAGTAGGTGGTGGTGGTGGTGGCTGCCTTGCATGTGCAGTTGGTGGTGGTGGAGGTGGAGAAAACTGGCGATGAGGCTGTACCTGGAAAGCGGTAGCAGATGGCAATGAAATTGACTGCTGCAATATACAGGCATTTGATGATGCACCAGCACTGTTCCTTGAAGCGTGGATATCTAGATAGTTGTTTTTCCCGATAATTGGGACCAGATTTTGTGCTTGGACAGGCTTCATTTTAGTTCCAGGATCTGGCAAACCAAGATACGGATGTGGTTGTGGGACTGGTACACTCCGAGAAGTAATGTTTCCCACAGTCTTTGGATGTGTTGGAGGATGAGTGTGTGCATCTCCAGGTGCATATAGACGTAGCTGCTGCTGTTGCTGCTCCAATAATTGTTGCTGTTGAAGCAATTGTTGCTGTTGCTGCTGAATGAGTTGTTGTTGCTGCTCTTGCTGCTGCAGTAGTTGTTGCTGTTGCTGCTGTAGTAATTGTTGTTGCTGTTGAAGTATCAATTGTTGTTGTTCTCTTTCACGATTATTAGATGTCTGGTAAGTAAGAGTAGGGGCTGCAAAGCTTGGAGCTGCTGTGGGTGGTACAATGCTTGTATGTGCTTTCAGAATATTAATATTTGGCTTGGTGGTTATAAATCTTGCATTTGCTTCTTCAGTTGGAAGAGGAAGGTGTGTATACAGAGACGCTGGAGGCTGTTTTAAGAGCTGTTCTTGTTGTGAAAGCAAGTTCTGTTGAGATTTAGAGAGTTCAAGTTTGCTTGTTATTGGAACTGTGGTTTTGATGTGAGGAGCATTGTACGGTGGTGGAGGGGGAGCTGGAGTACATATCTCCCTGGGCCTTGGTGGTTGTCGCATGTTAGAAGCTGGTTCCAAAAGCACATAATTTGCTTCACTGTCAGAACGCGGAGGTGGTATTGGAGGTGGTGGTATATTTGGAGGCAATGTCACATAGTCTGAATCTGAATCAAGCGTAGTGCTAATGGTTGCGCGAGATGGATAGACACCACTGTGATGACTACCACCACCACTTCCACTGCCACAAATCAAATCAGAAAGTTCAGCTGCAGTGAGGGGACTACGTGCTCCAGGTTCAGTAGGATCACTGCCATCGCCACGAAAGCTGCCTGACACACTGACAACAGAACCAGCACTGCAGCTCCCACTACGGCCTCGTGAATCAGAATCTATGGATGCAGCGGTTCCAGGGTAAGATGCTCGACCGCTGGCACTGTCTGTACTACACACAGCATATACACCACTAGTCTCGGAGGAGCCAGCATGCGTGTCGGCTGTAGTAGCACAACTACTGCGCAATGTATAAATTCCACTGCTGGCATGTGCACTTTGTACTGAATAATCCAGTTCAGGGCACGTGCTAGCTGAATCAGAAAGAGCAGAGTTTTGAGCAGTATGGCTGTATCCTAACTCAAGGCTAGAACTTGTGCTGGCACGACGACGAACACTCTCTCCTGTAGTGATGTGTTCTACCCCAGGAGAAGTAACCACATCCTGCTCTGCAGGAACTGTATTTTCTACTTCTCCAGAAGTAACTACTGTCAATGGAGTTGCCACAGTTGGAGCTACAACTACAGTAGAGCAAGAACTAGAACACTGACTGCCATCTGTTGTTGCTGGAGTAGCTGATCCTTCCACAGTGGGACCAGTGCTTCCAGTACTTCCAGCACTTCCTCCAGCAACAGGTCCTGCACTGCCGGTGCTGCTACTGCTGCTGCTGGGAGATGTTTTAGGAGCCCCAGTGTTATTGTTTGATGGAGGCGGAAGAGCTTCTCCTTCAATTCCATCTACGTATCAAGCAAATACAGCATATTAATGATCAGTAGTTCACTAAGGTACAAATAATAGAAATGGCTTCACACATTTTGACTTAATTAATGAAAAATCATAATATTATTTCAGATATTTAATCACAGAATAAATTTGACCTATTCTCTTGAAAAGTTTGTTTATACACAGTTAGTTTATTACATCTTTTATATTACATCTTTTTTTCTGAGATTTATTTCCAGTGCCATTAGTTTTTGGAAAAGGAAAAATAATATATAATTTATAATTTACCATTTTGACTATTTTAGAACTTGAGAGAAGTCTTTTTTTCAAAATATTTGAAAAATTATACATGCAGAATTGTATAGGAATTCTGAATAGACTACCTGGACTGTGAAGAACAGCATCAGGTGCATCTCTAAGATGAGCTAATGCTAATGATTCTACAGATGGTGCTGGTGGAGAATTTATCATTATTTCTATTTCAAGATCATCTTCACTTTCATCAAGACTTTGTACACGATCTGATACTATCCCTGATGTTGTGTTGGATGATGTATTGCTGATAACTGAAATACGTTGATCGCTGTGATGTCCTTTGTAATTGGCACTTAACTTTGGAAAATCACTTGGTCCCAGGCTTCGTGAGTACATGTACGAATCACGATACCTCTTTTTTTCTGTGAAAAGTACAATGATTTTCTGATGTGAATATTATTACAAGCAACTGAAAAAATATTTTACTTCTTTCTTAATTAACCAGTCCAAAAATATAACTCACCTATTGGAATATCACTGTGCTTTATATAAAAACTTAACAAGTTCCAAATAAAGAAGTATGATAAAAAGAATGCATGAAAACCCTTACCTTCTTCTTCTCGTCGACGTACTTCATTGAGGCGGGTTTGTAAGCTCATGCTAAATTGATGGGTGATGCAGCACAAGAAGAATAGGTGTCTACTCTTCTCATCGCTGCTGGTGAAATATGTTAATTTTTGACCTGATTCAGGCCAGTTACGAGATAAAATTTGAAACTTCTTCCTCTGGAAAAGCAAATTAAATTTATTTCAATTATATGTAACCAAAAGTTAATGTTATTGATGGATGAACCAACTAGACTGATATTTATGAATACGAGTGAAAAAATAAGATTTAGGGTTCAAGCATGGTACAAGAAATGAATCCTGAATGGGGTAAAGGTAAACACTTTCACTAACAAAAATTAGAGCAGATTTCATACAGCTCTAGTAAACCATAAGTTGGAATACTAGCATACAATTGCAAAAGACTTACCTCAAAACAGACTTTGCCGATATTGGACCACAAGAAAGTAGCTGTCAAAGCTGAATCCTCCTGTAAAATTGTAATAGTACAGGTGAAAATTCATTCCACAATAAATGCAAATTGTAAATGAATTTTTGTAACTACATTTCATTGATTATAAATCATTTACTCACTGAATAGAGGTGAATGCCCTTGGAGCAGATGGCCAGCCATACCGACCCCGATCCCAATTCCTGTTTCTTCTGTTTGAGTCGATAGAGATGTGTGTTGTGGGTAAGAGGTGTCTTCTCAGTAGAAGAAGCCTCTTGTATGTACTGTTGGTGAGCTTGGGATTTGCTAATGCCGCGATTTCCTTGGTGCAATACCGGTACGGTCTGAAGAATCTTTTGTTCTGCTTCCGGTAACATCTGCAGAAACAATATTATTTCAAAATGAATTGGACATGCAATAATGAAACTTTTAATGAACAGATTACACAGATTCTATCCAGTTTTGAACAACGATGTAGTGAAAAGTTAGATAACTTCTTGAAAATAAACTAGATACACAGAAAAAGTCTTCACCTTTTGATGTTGAGTCTATTGTAGTGTAAAGAATTGTAAACAATTGTAGATAATGAATTATATTTGCTTTTGAACAAAAATATTTCTTATTTTTATATTGCATGAAGTTTCTTCTTTTTCTTATTATCACTTTTTTAAACTCTTTTTTAAACACCGTAAGAAACATTACATTCTTACCTGCATTGGAAAGTAATCGGATGGTTGGAAGTAGCCACCATCTCGGTTGCCATGAGTGGCCTCATCATAATCTCCAAGGTCAGCCTGTAGTGCATACCCTGCCAGCAGGTACAGGGCCTTTGTGCTGGCACAGGCATGTAGATTTCCCCGATTACAGACATTATGACGTAGTTGCAAGTAGTAATGATGTCGTGTCACCTCATCCCTGGAATGTGACAGTCACTTTTATTAACTAATCAGCAATTAATTTGTGATCTCAATCATTAATATTTTTACTTACAGTCCAATATTTCTCAAAATTTTTATAATTCCTTGTAGACTTTTCTCAACATTAGCAAATTCATAATTTTGTGATGTTTTATAAAGAAATAAAATTGGTGTTGATCAATCTGCTTTTTATAATTAATATTCGAGAGGACAAGATTGTTAGTTGTGGACTGTCATTTAGCTTCTAAGTTTGATTAAAGTTTCAGTGCAGAGAAGTAATTTATAAGAAAAGTTGTGATTTTGTATTTTTTTAATTTTTAGTGGATGATGATGTATTCACAATATGTAATTCTAATAAGTTTCCCAATTTTTCAGTCTTTAATTGAATGTTGTCTTAAACATTCCTCTGATATATTCTTAAAATCAGAAAACTTCTGAGAATATTATTTCTGATGTTAATTTCTTGAATTTGAAAACTATTTACGACAATAACAGTATAGGAAGAATAGAACTCACCTGAGGAGAAGAGGACTATCCACATAAAACTGAACTCTGAGGTACAAAACAAGGGATGGCCTCCCATTACCGTCTAAACCCTGTAAAAAAGAAAATTAGTTCAGTACTTGTGTATGCCAATATATATAATAATTCTCTATTCTTTCATATTTGCCTTCTTGCCATATTCTTTCATATATGTTAAGATAATGTATTCATTTTCTATACTTCAAATTCCTATACAAATTATAACCTCAAGTTATAAAATTTTGTACACCATCTGAAAGTGGCCTAAAATGGACCACTTCAGTGAACTCAAATTTGTGCAATGTTGTACACTAATGATAATTTGAAATTACACAGGAATTTTACTGATGAAACAGAAGAAATCACAAAATCCCTTAATTCACCTCTGTGAGTAAAGAATGACTTCCTGGCCAAGTTGATAATAAGCTAAATTCATTGATTTAAACACATGGATTGCTACACCAAGTTATTCGTGTTTCTGCACAAATTGAATGTTTACATTGATGGTTTTTTAGAACAGATGACAGAATAAACAGGTGACAGTCCAATAACTTTCATAGCTACGTATAAAAATTCAGAAATCCTTTAAAAATTATTATGAGCAGTGAAAGCCAATGAACTGCTCATGCCATATGCTTCTCCCTTCAATACTAGAAATATTTTGGCACTGATGTACAATCTGATATTGAAGATTTGTCTCATATACATAAAGCATATTTCAGCAGTCAGATATTCAGAAAGCATATTTTTTATAAAAACACAAGCATTTCAGAGAAAATCACAGGTAGTACCAAGTATTCTACTGTTCCAAAATGAAAATTATATATTGTGTTAACACTATGTATTAAATTAAATGTTAAATATTTTAATTTTAAAAATGTATGATTATAAATATTTCTACAAGACAAGTTTGGAGAGAACATGTCATTCAAAATTTGTCTTCAAAAGGAATGAGCAAAATAATATACAAGTTACAGTTTCTTTATAAATGAACAGAAAATAACACTGTGGCATTATGTAACAGCTCTTTACAAACCACATTCAACCTCAGCCCCCCTTCTCATCAATTCGATTATTTAGGATGTTCTTCTTCAAAATAAAAGAAAATGGGGTAACATACACCCAGAATCTGTCGAAACAAAACATGTATAATTATATGCTGATACTTACAACAGACTTTGCATTCTAGGGTATCAATCCAAGAATTTTCTCTCCGAAAATTGTTTTTATTTATTTATCGTCCAAAAAAAAAAAAAAGTCATACTGAAATATAATCTGCGAAGTTTTCTTGAGCTCCAGAATCCCTTTCTTTCTCTTTTTCTAAATATAGTAGAATTATAAAAAAACGTTACCAACGAGCATGGTCGGCAATGCAAGAAGTAAATTTTTGATCCACAAAAATAGAAAACGTACTTACATAGGCAAATTTGATTTGATTGCTGGCAAAATAGCAAAGCCCCCACCCTACTAGTAGCAAAATGAGATCAACAAAACTTGCACAGTGCTACACTTGTAAATAAAAGTTTGTTAGTTAAATCGTTTTCAGATTCCTTGACTTTAACTCCAGAAACTAATTCCATTAAAATGGTGTCATTCGAAAATTTAACTTTTCATGTCTTGAATTACAATATTACAAATCTGAAAGACAAAAAAGAAATATTGTGTAAACAATAATTTAAACATTCATTTTTGGGAATCACAAATATTTTTTTTTTTTTTGTTTTAAATGACAAAAGAACGAGCTTACATGACAGAAAATTATGCCCCCAAAATGTAGGTTAATAAAAAATCCCACAAGATATCCAAAACATATTGACGAAATGGTAAGAAAAGGCATTGACACACACTATCCATTAAATGACAGTGTCGGGTAAACAAATTCTTAAGGGTCAATGTATATCTTCTGTATAAATAATTCGTTAATTTACGGCCCTATTTCGCGATGCCCTCAGGCGGAATATTATTTTGAACTGAACAGCAAAATGAAGGAACAAGGCGCGAACATCCCGTCACCGCCGCCCCCGTCGGCATCGCCTTCGCTGCTGGCAAGGCATTGCCGCCCGCACAGTAGCCCCGTGCGCCCCCCCCCCCCCCCCCCCATTCTGACATAGCCGCAGACCACTGCATGCCTGCATGCGGTCCGTTGATTACGGTCTTTATTTGTCAGCTTCCCCCCGCATTCCGAGCAGGCAGGCGGTCGGCGTCGAGGAAACAACAAGAACAACTCATCCACTTTCCTGTGCTAGATTACTACCTTTCGTTTCTCGGAACAGCTACAATTCTCATTAAAAATGCTTTGGACTTTTCTGTGCATAGGGGCAGCTACGCAGCGCCATGCTACTTCGTTGTGTGAGAGAGAGTGAGTGAGTGGGCTTCCGAGAAGAGGGTGTAAATCTGCACATAAAGGAACGAACGGGAGTCGATTTCGCTGGGGTAAAAGCAGACTTACCTCCCCGAGTCATGAGATGAAACACCATTGCAAGGTAACATGTCACTAGTCGTTTAAAGAAGACTATTAAAATAAATGGCATTATGTAGATTTGTAGCAGTTATATTTTAACTAATATACGAGCTTAACTGGTTCTGATTTGGCCGTGATGAAAAATTTGGCATTCTACATTTCCTTACATTGTTACAATGTGAATTTGACTGACAATTTCTAATATTTGGCTCAAAGAAGTAAGCAAAACAAACGTATACCGATGAAAAAGGGCAGACATAAAAAAATGGTCTTATATATAAGATTCTCATTAATACTGATACACTTATGATTGTTGTATACCGTTACTTTAAAACGTCGAATACTCAAAACTCTTTGAATAGTACTTTCATGTTTCGGGATTATTTAAGGCGTAAGATGAGGTTACCCAACAATAGGGATAAATTAGACCTTCTTCTCAAACGATTTGAAATAATCTGTGAGCTGCTTTCAAGTCGTGCACTTGTAATTGAATAGACAAAGAAAAATAACTTGTATAAAATGTATGTATGTAATGTAATGTATGTATGTAAAATGTAAGGAAGTATGCGATTTCGGAAGATGCATAATACACCTCTTATAATTTATGATGGCATGATCCACATGAGTGAATTGACAATAATACTGAATTCTATTATTTCTTGAAGCACCTCTCATTTTTTGTCCAAATTATCAAAGAATCCGGGATCACTTATTCAACTAATATAAAGGCGTGCCACCAACTATGGGCCACCCCCATAACTTCTAAACGATTCGCGACATCAAAGGCAGTTTTCGCTTAACAATGAAGAATCATGTGGCTAGTAACATGCCTTAGAGAAATAGTCTACAATATTTGTAGTTTTCGAGAAATTTAATAATCTTTGATTTTTGAAATGGAACTTTATATTTTCTTAGTCGATCCGGATAGCCGACATCGCTAAGACACTAGTGTCGAAACTCGCCACGAGCATGGATGTATTTGTGATCGTCCACCCCTTCACCATCATCCTACCACTTCATTAAAGAAGGATTAGTAATTCCGTGAGCGAGCAGGAGGCCCTAGCTCTTAATGGGATGTGCAGTTGGCTAATATATATTCTTACCAGCAATGGATAGATCAGGAAGAAAAGAATTAAAATGATGTATCGTATGTTAGTATTTGATATTAAATTAGACTTTGCGGCGTGTCATTCTAAAGTAACGGGCAGCCCCTGTTGTGGAAAGTACTATTTCGTGGAGATAGGTGTCTTGAGTGGGGTGGCCCTGAAGGATAGAGGCATAACCACAGCAACCCATGGTCTTGCCACGAAGACCACATAAACAAACACCCATATTAGCGATCAGAATGGGATATGTTTTTACCATTTGTTCATCTGAACTGAACTTTTTTCTACTGAAATTCCAAAGCAACGATAATATAAAAAATAGCAAAATAACGATGACAATAATAAAGGTCATTTTCAAACTTACAAGAATCGAGCTCAGTGTGTTATGGCAGAAACAAGCCATCATTATAAAACATGGGAAGGGAATGAATGCTTATATATTTTCTTGTAATATCTCGATTAATTCGTTAAACAATAGGTGGACATTTTCTCTTATTATTTTCTTCTATCTAAACATGTACCGAAAGAAGAAAGTAATACAAAATTTGAACCACTCTTGACGGTTCTATCAGTCAATCAGTAAATTTACCAAACTTTAACAACAACGCGCATCAGCAGTCGCGACTGCTAATCCTGATTGGAGAGTTTGTCATTTCATAGCACCACGTGCTGCCACAAACTTGAAAATTCACGATAGTCACTTCTGTTTTCTTTTTCATTTATGAATAACAGTAAGGGTATTGTTGCAAAGTGGAAGAGTGATAATCTTAATTAAAAATAAAATTTACCAACGAAGGTGGCTATATTCTTGTCAAGTTTGAAAATGATATTTATTATTATCTTCTTTACGCTACCAAATTTTGTATCGTTCTTTCGAGTGATCTATTTTGTGAATTTCAGTGAAGACAGTGATCCAGATGAATCAATGGAAAAAGATCTCTTATTTTGATCGTTAAAATTGGTGTTTCGTAGTGTGACTACATGGATTGCTATAGTTGTGCCTCTTATCCCTTACTGCCACTACCAATCCCTCTACCTTCCCCGAAGGCGAGAGTTGCAAGGGCTGCTACATGAAATATGGTCCGCTTCATTCAAAATCACATCACATCACATCATATATATATTTGTTTATGTGAAATTTAATCGTCTTCGATTTTTTAAATGGAACTATACATTTTCTCACCGTCAATGGATAGATCATGAAAAGAGGAATAAAATGATGATTCATATGTTGGTGTTTTGATAGTAATTAGAGTATAAAATTATACTTTCTGATATGTAATTTTAAATTAAACCGACAACTGTCGCCTTCGGGGAAGGCGGCCTGCGCGGCGTTAAGACTGTTGCGTGAAGCGCGGAGACGGAGAGGGGTGGCAGTGAGGGATAGAAGGCACAACTCCAGCAATCCAAATTTTAATGATCAGAATGAGAGATTTTTTCCATTGATTAGTCTGCGTTTAACTTGTCTTCTAAAGAAATTCTAAAAATCTATCATTCTAAAGAGCGA